TTCCTTTTGACTACTATGTCTGCAGTTCAAGTCACCCAACAAAAGATTGTGCTTAAGCCATAGCCTTTTAAGTTCGAGCAACTCAACTTTCAAAAAACCTGTCTTTGCACTTTCTATCCACAAACTTCATGTTGCACTCTTATTCTAGCTTTATTCTAATAAATCTCTAGACTTTTTACTGAGGTAGTTACCAAGAAATAAGAATTTTGTGAATAGCATCATCTTTTCTTTAAGGAAGCCTATCAAAATTTTAAGCTCTATAAGACCAAGACCCACGTCCAAAGCAGTTTTATTTTCCTCACTGTTCCTAGCAGAGTGCTAAGTGGTTAGTAAGTGCTCAATAAAAATTTTTATTATATTTATGTAGTAAAATACAAAATGTTGCATATTTTTATTTAATAATGGCTTAATATGATTTGTATTTCACTGTTTTTCTGTCAAGTGAATAATCACTCAATTTAGATTTTTCTGTTCTCTGATAATTCTTAATGTAAGCACTGTTGTCTTTACTGTTTCACAGTAAATTAACTAACACACATTAGAGGTTGCCCTCAGTTTTAGGAATTTATGTTAACCTTTTAGCCTTAAAAATCCTTTCATAAACTCAGACACCAATGCTCCCCTACCCTGTGGAAATCCATACCTAAAATTAAAAAAAGGAGAAAAACTTTAACATGTCTTTTTTTTAATTTACCATTAAAAATATAGAACAAAATTTACCATTTTAGCCATTTTTAAATGGTTTAATAGTACTAAGTACATTCATACTGCTGTGCAGCCAAACCCATCATTCTCCAGAGCTTTTTCATCTTCCCAAACTGAAACTCCATACTATTAAACAATAATTCCTCATTCTCCCCCTCCCTGTTCCTGGAAACCACCATTCTACTTCCTGTCTCTAGGAATTTAACTACTCTAGGTAATTCATGTAAGTGGAATCATACAGTATTTGTCCTTTTGTAACTGTATTATTTCCCTTGACATAGTGTGTTCAGAGTTTGTCCTTGTAGCATGTATCAGAACTTCTTTCCTTTTAAAGGCTGAATACTCTTCCATTATTGTCTTTTGATGGAAAGAGAAGATGGTATTAGTGTATCCATTCATGAGCAGATGATATAAAATCTGTGCTTCTGATCCAGTGGAATTCTCCTCATTATGTTATAGCCTAGTGCTTACATTAGTTAGCATATTGTAGCATTTTTACAAGGAATGAACTCTGCCTCTGGGTACTCTAAGTCAAGACCGTGAGAATGACCTCAAGTTGAGAGGAAATTATTTAATACAGGCCTTCCAGTTCACCACCAAAAGTTATGTAACTTGGAACATACTAGTTGCCCCATAAATGTTTGAATGAATTCTTAAATATAGATGGACCACTGTTCATAATTTCCAAAAACTGGAAATAGCCCAAATAGAATAGTCACACAATGGAATACTTACAGCAGTAAAAGTGAGTGAACTACAGACATACACAGAAACATCAAAAAAATCTTAAAGACAGAAGCCAGAGACTTCCCTGGCAGTCCATTGCTTGCCTCCGTGCTTCTAGTGCAGGGGATGCCGGTTCAATCCCTGCTCAGGGAACTGGGATCCTACATGCCATGTGGTGCGGCCAAATATATATATATATTTCTTTTTAGAGACAGAAACCATATATAATAGAATACATACTGTATGGTTCCATTTATAAAATTCAAAAGTAGATATACTTAAACTCCTTAAACATATGTTAAAGGATACATAAATAGATAGAAAAGCTATTTTTTATGAAAAGCAAAGAAATGAATCTCCTAAAATTCAGAATGATTTTTATCACAGAGAAGAGGCTCATGACTGTAAAGGGCCATTGTTGGGGAGCGGGAGAGAGGCTCCTGGGATGCTGACAGTAGTCTGCTTCTTGACCTGAATTGAGATTTTATGGGTGTAAAACTTCATTTTACAGAGTTTGTTCATTTGTACATTTATGTTTTACACACCTTTCTATTTGATCCTCATATTCCACAATTTTAAAATGTTTAAATTCTGTGATTCTAAGGGGAAAAACCAAGGGAATATTTCTTGCAAAGATGGGCACAATAAAGAACAGAAACAGTATGGACCTAACAGAAGCTGAAGATATTAAGAAGTGGCAAGAATACATGGAAGAACTATATGAAAAAGATCTTCATGACCCAGATAACCACAATGGTGTGATCACTCACATAGAACCAGACATCCTGGAGTGCAAAGTCAAGTGGGCGTTAATAGCATCACTACGAACAAAGCTCGTGGAGGTGATGGAATTCCAGCTGAGCTATTTCAAATCCTAAAAACGGTGCTTTGAAGTGCTGCACTCAATGTGCCAGCAAATTTGGAAAGTGCAGAAGTGGCCACAGGACTGGAAAAGGTCAGTTTTCATTACAATCCCAAAGAAAGGCAGTGCCAAAGAATGTCCAAACTACTGCACAATTGCACTCATCTCACACACTAGCAAAATAATGCTCAAAATTCTCCATGCTAGGCTTCAACAGTATATGAACCAAGAACTTAAGATGTTCAAGCTGGATTTAGAAAAGGCAGAGGAACTAGAGATCAAATTGCCAACATCTGTTGGATCATAGAAAAAGCAAGAGAGTTGCAGAAAAACATCTACTTCTGCTTCATTGACTCCGCTAAAGCCTTTGACTGTGTGGATCACAACAAACTGGAAAATTCTTAAAGAAATAGAAATACCAGACCACCTTACCTACCTCCTGAGAAATCTGTATGCAGGTCAGGAAGCAACAGTTAGAACCAGACATGGGACAATGGATTGGTTCCATATTGGGAAAGGAGTACATCAAAGCTGTATACTGTCACCCTGTGGCATCATGCAAAATGCCAGCCTGGATGAAGCACAAACTGGAATCAAGATTGCCGGTAGAAATATCAATAACGTCAGATATGCAGATGACACCACTCTAATGGCAGAAAGCAAAAAGGAGCTAAAGAGCCTCTTGATGAAAGTGAAAGAAGAGAGTGAAAAAACGGGCTTAAAGCTCAGCATTCAAAAAACTAAGATCATGGCATCTGGTCCCATCAGTTCATGGCAAATAGATGGGGAAGCAATGGAAACAGTGAGACTTTATTTTCTTGGGCCCCAAAAGAGGTGACTGCAGCCATGAAATTAAAAGGATTGCTCCTTGGAAGAAAAGCTATGACTGACCTAGACAGCAGAGACACTTTGCCAACAAACGTCCGTCTAGTCAAAGCTGTGGTTTTTCCAGTAGTTATGTATGGGTGTGAGAGTTGGACTATAAAAGAAAGCCGAGTGCCAAAGAATTGATGCTTTTGCACTGTGGTGTTGGAGAAGACTCTTGAGAGTCCCTTGGACTGCAAGGAGATCCAACCAGTTGATCCTAAAGGAAATCAGTCCTGAATATTCATTGGAAGCACTGATGCTGAAACTGAAGCTCCAGTACTTTGGGCACCTGATGTGAAAAACTGACTTCTTAGAAAAGACCCTGATGCTGGGAAACATTGAAGGCAGGAGGAAAAGGGGATGACAGATGATGAGATGGTTGGATGGCATCACCAACTTGTTGGACTCGAGTTTGAGCAAGCTCTGGGAGTTGGTGATGGACAGGGAAGCCTAGCATGCTGCTGTCCTTGCAGTCCTTTGTCGACTGTCACAAAGTCGGACATGACTGAGCGACTGAACTGAACTGAACTGAAGGGGAAAAACTAAAAAGATCATATGACATAATCATACAGTATTTTAGCTCTTAGATTGATAAAATAAAGATATCATTGGCCAGTCCTGGTACTACAGTACCAGGAAAGTACTATAGTCTATCTTAAGGTTTCCTTTTTACTGAGTTACAGATATAAATTCCTAGACTCTGTAGTTTGCGTGCATGCTTAGTCATGTCCGACTCTGTGCAGCTCCATGGACTATAGCCCACCTGGCTCCTCTGCCCAAGGAATTTTCCAGGCAAGAATACTAGGGTGAGTTGCCTTTTCCTACTCCAGGGGATCTTCCCAACCGAGGGATAGAGCCCATGTCTCCTATGTCTCCTGGCAAGTAGATTCTTTACCATAGTGCCACCTGGGAAGCCCAGGCTCTATAGTTTGGGGAAATGGAAATCGGAAGAGGAGCAGTACTAGGTAGAAGCCTGTCAACATCTGCAGTCCATTAAGGACCTGATGCTTCATTAAAATGCGTTAACCTCAGTGTCTTGCCAGTGTTACTCACTTCTTTGAAATTGTATTCATTTCCGTCCCAGCATGATGTGTGAGAAATGGGAAGCAGGCAAATAGGACAGATCTTCCTCCCTCTCATCTCTCTTTATCCAACTACTCTCTTGAGCCATATAAAAGGTAGAATTAAAGATCAGCAAATCTTTGACTAGCTTTTGAAAAGAATTTCCTCATTCACAGAAATTTCATCAAATTAAAGTTACATGGCCAGTTGCTTCATTGCTTCATTAGTAGTTTTTAAATTGGTATAATGAACAGCTTTCCCAGTTGCTTGGGTTCTGCTAAATTCTGAAACTATTCCCATGTATATCACTGACTTTGGTGATTCTTTAATTAGCTTAAGCCTCAAAAAAGCTTGACTGGCCTATTGAGTAGATTATTAAAATGAAAGTCCTAATGAGTCTTATTTGTTAAGATGTATAATAAATCAAGTGGCTACAGCTCATTTAGGGAGTGTCACAACAAATACTGTGGCTAATTGGAGGATATAGTTAGAAATATTTTTGATTAAAGATATCCAGCCATCACTGGAAACTGCTTCATGTCAGATTTTACATATGAGGGGAAGCAATTAGCTAGCATGCCTTTCTTAGGGTAAAATTCCAAAGTTTTGTTCCCCTGTTGTTTGTAAATTTGACATTCCTTGAGTAATTTGTTGAGTCTCTGTTCCAGACATAGCATAAATTTCTGATTTATAGGCATGAGTATATGCCTAGTCTTCTGCATTTTATCCTGCTTTTTGCACAGGTTCCTGCCTTACCTTACTGTTTTTCTCCTTTCAGGGGCTGACATTTCAGGAAGTGGAGAACTTCTTTACTTTCCTAAAGAATATTAATGATGTAGACACTGCATTGAGCTTTTATCACATGGCTGGGGCATCTCTTGATAAAGGTAATGAAACTCAAAAGTGTTTTTTTGAAGCTGTAAACAGTGAATCTGTAATCCATTAGGTGACTACCCTTCCTTAACAGAAATATGTGAGTTTTTCTTGACATTGTTTTTGATTTGCTTTGTCATGTTGACATTGCATGGGCCTTGCATTTCACCCTGAGAGGCCAAGTTCAGCAAATACATTTTCTTGAGCTAAACGCTATAGTCAAGACAGATGCCTATCTTTATTTTTTTTTTTTATATGGTAGTGGTTTTTGTCATACATTGACATGAATCAGCCATGGATTTACATGTATTCCCCATCCCGATCCTCCCTCCCACCCTCCTCTCCAGGTGCCCATCTTCAAATGATTAGTCTTGGAAACACATCTAAGCTGAGGCACAATGCATGGAATTTGGAAGTTCTCTTATCAGAGCCAGAGTTGTGACACATATAATGTGAAGCCAAAGTTGCTGTTCATTTTAATTCATTCTTCGTTGGGAAGGAATAGTTTGGTTTCTTTTTTGTGTTAGTTTTTGTGTTTTTCTTTAAAGATAAAATCATGACTGTGAGAATCGCACCTCCATTGGCTAACTTCATACAAATTCAGCTCCAGTTTGTATAGGCAATGGGAGAGAGCAGAGCAATTGCAAGCAGTTTTTCCCAATATTATGAAAAATTTCAAACATACACAACAATTTAATTATTCAGAGAACATTCGTATATCCAGCTCAGTTAACATTTTGCTATATTTCTCTGATATCTCTGCATATATTCATCCTTCTGTTTATCAGTACCTCATTTTTTTTGATGCATTCAAAGTACGTTAGAGACATAAGTGTACTTCACTCCCAAGTACCTCAGCATGAATATTAACTGAAGTTCAGTAGTTGTTTACAGTTCCCTTGTGCCCTTTTGCAGTTAATTTCTGCCCCTAGTTATCAAGAGGCAACCTTAATTCTGTATGTTTTTCCACCATAGATTAATTTTGTTTGTTCTAGAACTTCATACAAATGGAATTATACCATGAACACTCAGCTTCTCTCAGCCTGTTTTTGAGATCCACCCATGCTGTTACACATACAGTAGTATGTTTTTTTTCTTTTTTAAGAATAGTTATCTATTGTATGACTACTCCAAAATGTGTTTATCCTTTCTTCTGTTGGGCATGTTAGCTGTTAACAGTTATTGACTATCTTGAATCAAGCTACTATGAACATTCTTGTGTTAGTCTTTTTGAGGATACGTATTTTAATTTTTCTTGGGTATATTGCTGAGTCCAGAGAAAGGTGGGTATTTCTTTTATAAAAAAACTTTCAGACACTGTCACTCGAGTGTATGTTCCTCGGTTCTTTGTCTCGTCACAACAAAAATTTGGAGTGACGGACATTAAAGCCCCTTGGCGGGTCACAGCTCTCAGAGGACAGACCGTGTTATTACTCTCAGGTCTCAAACAGACCGTGTTATAGCTCTTAAATAAATCAGTGTTACAGCTCTATTTATTTAGATAATAGCAGGAAAAACCATCTTTGAGGCATGAGGGCACGTCGATCCAAAGACGTGAAGAGAAGATCTCCCCATCTCCCGGGGGAGAGAGAGGGAGCAAAATGGGGAGAAGAGGGCTTTGTGCTCTTTTTATATGTTTCTCTGTCTTGTGTCTCCTGCATAGGCAGGCATTCTTTACCACTAGCGCCACCTGGGAAGCCCACCAAACTGTTAAGATATTCTCCTATATTTTCTCCTAGAAGCTTTAGTGTTTTAACTCTTGTATTTCATATGTAGTCCATATTTAGAAAATAATTTCTAAATATGGTGTGAAATAAAAGTCAAGATTTCTTTTTTTCCACATGGATATTCAGTTATACCAGCACTATTTTTGAAAAAACCCTCCATTTGTTTTGGCACCTTTATAAAAAATCAGATGACCTTTTAAGTAGAGATCTATACATCTATCTTTATACCCATGAGCTTCCCTGATAGCTCAGTTGGTAAAGAATCTGCCCGCAATGCAGAAGACCCTGGTTCAATTCCTTGGTTTGGAAGATCTGCTGGAGAAGGGATAGGCTACCCACTCCAGCATTCTTGAACTTCCCTTGTGGCTTAGCCACTAAAGAGTCCACCCTCAATGAGAGAGACATGGGTTTGATCCCTGGGTTGGGAAGATACCCTGGAGAGGGAAAGGCTACTCACTCCAGTATTCTGTCCTGGAGAATTCCATGGACTTTGTAGAGCATGGGGTTGCAAAGAGTCGGACATGACTAAGTGACTTTCACTTTCACTTTATACCCATACTCACTGTCTTGATTACCTTATAGCAGCCTTATAGAAATTCTTGAAGTGTCATGTATTATAAATTCTCCCAACTGGATTCTTCTTTTTCAAAATTGCTTTAGCTGTTTTAGGTCCTTTTATTTCCATATAAATTTTAACATCAGTTTGTCACTTTCTCCATAAAAAAGAGGTAGGATTGTGATTACAATAACATCGAATATATACATTAATTTGGAGAGAATTGACATCCTAGTGAAATATGAGTCTTCTAGTTCATGAGCATGTTATCACTCTCCATTTTTATAGGTCTTATTTTATTTCTGTCACCAGTGGTTTGTATAAATATATAGGTCTTACACATAATTTTTAAAAATTTATGCATATTTTATGGTCTTAATGCTATTAAAATTGAATTTTTATTTCATTTCCAGTTATTTGCTATTATAAAATATAATTGATTTTTCTTTATTGATACTGTATTCTGTAGTCCTGCTAAATTTGCTCATTCTTCTAGGTAATCTGTGAATTCCTTAGGTTTTCTGTGTAACTGGTAATGTCATCTGCAAACAGAGATAGTTTCACTTCTTCTTTTTTTATATTTATTCCTTTATTTTCCTTGCCTTACTGCACTTGCTTTAACCACCAGTACAATGTTGAATGCAGATAATGAGTGTGGGTATCCTCGGCTTCTTCCTAATTTTAGGGGGGAAAAATTCAATATTTTACAGTTAAGATGGATATTAGATTAGACTGTTCATAGGTGCCCATTACTAGATTAAGGAAATTCCTTTTTCTTTGTAGTTTAAAAAAAAAAAAAAGATTTTGTCATCAATGACTGTTGAATTTTATCAAAAACCTTTTCTGTATATATAGAGAGGAATGATTATATGGCTTTTCTCCTTTATTTTCTTAATATGGTAGTTACATTGATTATCTCTTATTGTCCTGAAATAAACCCAACTTAATGGTTATGTATTAGGCTTTTCATATATTGCTAAGTTTATTTCTAACATTTTGTTAAATATTGAGGAATATTGATCTGTAATTTTCTTTTTTGTAATATCTTTTCAGATTTTGTAATAGACTATACTGTCCTCATAAAATGAGTTGGGAAGTTTTTTCTTCTTTTCAGTAAGAATTTGTATATGTATATGTGTGTGTGTGTGTGTGTGTGTGTGTGTGTACTGTTCTTTCATTTTGAAGTTTTTTATAAAATTCACCAACAAGACTATCTGGGTCTACAGTTTTCTTTGTGGGGAAGTTTTGATAATTTTTAAAATAAATACATAGGCATTCAGAGTTTGTTTTATCTCGTGTGAATTTTAATAAGTTGTCTATTTTTAGAAGTTTGCCCGTTTTGTATGTTATTTAAGTTATTTACCTAAAGCTATTCATAATATTCTATCATTATCCTTTTGATATCTATAAAATCTATAAAATCTGAAATCTAGCCTTTATTTCTAAAATTGGTGAATTATATCTTCTCTTTCTCCTTTTTTTTTTCTTATTTAATCTACCTAGAGGGTTAGCAATTTAAGTTTTTCAAAGGATCAGTTTTTTACTTTATTAATTTCTGGTTTTTTCTTTTGCATTATTTCTTCTCATATCTTTATTATTTCCTTCCTTCTACTTATTTTTCAGTATACCTACTCTGCTTTTCATTTTTTTAGATTCTTAGCATGGAACTTTACCTGTCTTTTCTAAGATAATCTTTGGAGGCTATAAATTTCATTCTAAACATTTCTTTATCTATATCCCACAAATTTTGACATGTTGTATTTTCATCATCATTCTGTTTGAAATATTTTATGATTTTCTGCATGATTTCTGTGGTGGATTACATATTATTTAAAGATAGGTTGTTTTTCATTTCCAAATATTTTATTTTTCTAGATATACTCTTGCTTTTTATTTCTAACTTAATTCTATTGTGGTCAGAATACACACTGCATAAAATTTCAGTTCACTTAAATGGACTGAGAACTTGTTTTATGACCCAAAATTTGGTCAGTTTTGTTTTGATGAATGTTTCACATATATTAGAAAAGAATGTGCATTCTTTTGAATGTAACGTTACAAAAATGTCAGGTCAAAGTGGGTCGATAGTGTTCAGATCTTATATGTCCTAACTGATTTTTTTTGTCTAGTTGCTCTTAGTTAGTAGTGGTAGTAGTTTAGTCTCTAAGTCATGTCCGACTTTTGCGACCCCATGGACTGTAGCCTGCCAGGCTCCTCTGTCCAAGGGATTCTCCAGGCAAGAAAACTGGAGTGAATTGCCATTTCCTTCTCCAGGGGATTTTCCTGACCCAGGAATTGAACCCGGGTCTCCTGCACTGCAGGCAGATTCTTTACCAACTGAGCTACAAGGGAAGCCCACTGCTCTTAGTTAGTGAGACTGACATGTTAAAATCTCCAAATATGATGTGTGAATTTGTCTGTTTTTCCCTTTAAATGGTGTCAGTCTTTACTTCATGAATTTTGAGCTCTAGTATTACATATTTAATGATTATGATTATTGTGTTTTCCTGATGAATTAGCCATTTTATCATTATGAAACATTCCCCCTTTATGTTTAGTAATACACCTTTTCTTGAAGTCTGTTTTGTCTGGTATTGACTTAACTACTCTAGCTCTTTGGGTGGGCTTCCCTGGTAGCTCTGCTGGTTCTTTGCATGGTTTGTCTCCTCTCTTTGTGTGTTAAACCTGTCTATATATTTATGGTTCATCTCTTCTAGACATAGGGCTGGGT